TCCTTCCTTCCTTCCTTCCTTCCTTCCTTCCTTCCTTCCTTCCTTCCTTCCGTCCTTTCTTTGTTTTATGACAGGGTCTGACATAGCCAAGGTTGGCACTCAACCCATTATGTAGTTGAGGATTACCTTGAACTTCTCCTTCCAAATGCTAGCATTACAGCCCCTTGCCACCAACACCTGGTTTACATGGTGCTGGTCATCACACACAGGACACTGTACACACTAGGCAAGCACCCTACCAAATGAGCCTCAACTCCAGTCTAAACTGCATTTTAATTGTTAAGAATGTCTTTTTAATTTTTCTTTTTTAATAAATTCAAATGTAATTACATCACTCCCTCTTTCCTCCCTTCAAAACTACCCATGACCCACGCCACCTGACCTGTTCTCCAAAGCTCATAACCTCCATTTCTTTAATTGCTTCTATCTTGTTCTTGAAGACTAGTTTTCTTTGTGCCCATCCTACACAGTCATGCCTCTATTGTTTATTTTATATAGTTTTACAGCTTTCTACCTTTTTTGTTTTTCTTGCAAGTCAAGTCTGTTGCTGTCTTAATGGTCAATCCTTTGTAAGATGATCTGCCTTTTCATCCAGACTATTTTAATTTTCTGTGTTTAACATTCTATAGTTCCTTTGCAGTATGTCTAGGTGTGATCTTTTGGAATAAAAAAAATCATGTTTGCTGGGCAAGGTAGCACACGTCTGTAATCCCAGCGTCTATATAGTAGAGTCCATAAGATTAGGAATCCACTATGAGTTTGAAAGCTCATTTGGTATGTTCAAATCATCCCGGTCATTGTGATAGCTTTTGTTTCTGCTCACTTTCTATTACATCTTTTATTTTCTTACAGGTTTCATAGATAGTTGCCTCATGTAAACACACCTTACTTTGAGATCCTAGGCATGTCCAACATTTGATACTATTGTCATCTACAAGTTAATGGTCAATAACCTTGCAATTGAGTCTCATAAAAGTAAATAAATAAATAAATAAATAAATAATCCCATAATGTTTTAACTATGCATACTCTTTTAATTTTGGGACAGGGTTGGCTGCATTTGTAGCTGTCCTAGGACATAGGTAGTCCATGGCCCCAGGTTGGACTACCCTTTGTTGGTAAAATGGGCTGACTACATGAGAAGCTATAAATCCAGGATGACCCTTCAGAGAGTCAAACTGAAGCATCAGGACTTGGCTCTAAATGTGGCCTAACATAAGAAGGAATACTGGGTGAGGAAACTCCTTAGCTGAAGCTGTTCCAGGAAGCTGAGACATGAGAGTTCTGGGCTGGTAGTGTCCCTGGAAGCTGGGAAATAAGGTCTTTGATGTCAAAGGGAGATTTAAGAAGCACATCATAATGTCTACTGCAAAGATCCAGCAGAAGAGTCAGTAAGTGCTGTGAACTTACAGAGAAATAAACTGTCAACTTACAGAGACATAAAACTGAATACCATAAAGACAGGAGTAAAATTGCCAGCTTCATTCATAAAAGCACCTTAAATTAAGCATCAGGGAAATGTCTTTCAGCCTCATACTAGGAATAACATGTAGGAGGCTTGATAATACCAAGTGATTAATCTGTAGCAGCATGTGGAAAATAAACACTTTGCACATTGTCATGGGTGTGTTCATTGGTCCAAGCATTTGGAGAGCAGCTTGACAGCGTGCAGTAGAAGTTGCAAAAATCCTTCAACTAGCAATTCCTCTTTCCATGTGTATAAGAGGAAAATCTCACACATTGAGCTGCAAGAAATATGTGAGGGAAAGTCTTTGCAACATTATTTGTTATGGTGAGAAAAATGAAAATAACATAACTGTTCCTCAGGAGAAAAATGGACAACAAAATTCTAGTTTAACAAACGTACTAGAATCAACAGGGATACCTACAAGAATAGGGTAGGAAGAAAAAGTTGCCAAAGAGATTATAAGTATGCTTCCATGATGTAAATATCAAAATGTGTGTTGTTTACGGATGACTACATATGTTAAAAAAACAAAGCACAGCTTTCACCTAATTTAAAACAGACACCAAAGCACATTAGGCAAAGTGTCACACCTTTTTAATGCAAGCATGGTAGTTGCTCTATTCTTCTCTGTACTTTTTGTATTATTGGTAAATAAGAAAGTTAATTGTTAAAGATTTAGCCCATACATTTAAGCTACCATTTTACTTGTACCTATAGAGATTGTGGAGGTTTCATTTTAAGCAATAGTTAATGTAAATGGCACACATTATTTATTGAGGATTCTACATGTGTCTGAAATCTCTGGTTCTTAAAACTAGGATGCTGCCCCAACTGAGTCTTTATTGAACTGGCAAGACTATGAGGGTCGAACACCTCTGCACTTCGCAGTTGCTGATGGAAACCTAACGGTGGTGGATGTCTTGACCTCCTATGAAAGCTGCAACATAACCTCTTACGATAACTTATTTCGAACCCCACTTCACTGGGCAGCCTTACTAGGTACGTTCTGCTGTAAGTCAGAGGAGCACTGGTAGGAAAGACTTCCCGACTGTAGAAGTCCTGTACCTCACATCTCCTGTGGGCTCCTTCCTCCTGCTTAAACATTTTCATGTCTAATTGATATGCTCAGTTATCTCATAGCCCAGCTCCTTCTACTGCACCTTAGAATGTGGTAATGTAAACTAATTCTCTATTAAATACTTGTTCTTATTTCAACATCATGCTATAAGTTTTTACTTTTATTATAAGGGGATGAAAATTCATTGACAAGATGTGACTATAATGTAACCTGGCTTCACATTCATGGCTGTTATGTGGGCAAAGGAAGCCATTCATTTGATGCTTGCATTTGGGGGATCACTTTTTGTTTGTTTGTTTTGTTTTGTTTCATTATGAGAGGGCAGATATGTGTCTGGTATGTATATTTGTGTCAGATTGTTTGAAAGAGGATATCCTGGGAGCTTTTCTGTTTGATGCAATAGTTTAACCACTTACAGTCATTATTTTAAAATAATACTTTTTTTTAACTCTTGGGGCATTATTATTATTTTCAGAGGGTTTCTTTCTAAATGTGTTCTTGCCTCTTTGTTTTCACCTCTGCCAGAGAGTATGTGCTGCCATCACTTGGCTGTAGCCTGCCTAGTGTTGCAGGTGGCAATCTAGGCTCTGTTGTGGTGACTTTTCAATTTGTCGAAATCATGTTTACCTGTGAGTCAGAGTCACAAGCAAGACCTCACCTGTTTCCTCCCGCTCATAATGAGCCGTGCCCTTTCCTCATTACTGCTTTGGTTTTGTTACCAGTCCAAGGGTCCACTCAGTTAACAGTCTGAGGGTCCACTCAGTTAACAGTCTGAGGGTCCACTCAGTTAACAGTCCGAGGGTCCACTCAGTTAACAGTCCGAGGGCCCACTCAGTTAACAGTCCAAGGGTCCACTCAGTTAACAGTCCGAGGGTCCACTCAGTTAACAGTCCGAGGGTCCACTCAGTTAACAGTCTGAGGGTCCACTCAGTTAACAGTCTGAGGGTCCACTCAGTTAACAGTCTGAGGATCTTCTCAGTTGTGAATATCTTGCTTTTAATTTTTAAGTTGCTTAAAGTGATTTTCATTCTTGCATACAGCTTTTATGTCAGACTTATAATTGTTATTTAGTCTTTCTTCTAAGGTGTTTTCACCCCTTTTCTTTTCCTCTAGAATGTGGGTGTATTCACAACTTTGATTTCACTTCACTAACTTCACGTTCATTCTGTACATTCTGATTTGTTATTCCTATTACATGGATCTTTTATCTCAATTGTGTCTTCATTCCCACCTGCCTCCTCTATTTTTTCTTGCACTCATTTTATTTCCTTCCATCAGCTTTTCATGTCAGCATGTTTTCCTCCTAGGATGCTCTCTTTTGTTTCATAGAAGCCATCTCTTTCTGACTAAATTGAAGATGCCTAACAGTTTCTCGACTTTGCTCTGAGCCTTCTTGAGACCATCTCTGAGGTATGCCCTTCATCTTTCCAATGCTGATTTTCTTTCCCTTACTTAATTTTTTCTTTGCTACCCAAACAAGAGTAGATGTGTTTAGATTGACACTATTACAGATAGTTAGTCATCTGGCCTGTGCTTGGGTTAGGAGGACTCCATCTTAAAGCACATGTGTGGAATGAGTACATGAGGATAGTCCCCAGGCAGACCCTTTGCCTGGCTTCCACCACCACAGCCTTGCTCAGAGGGCTCCTCCATCATGGTATCCTGCCCTGCCACGTTCCCTACATGCTCTGTTAGAGAGTCTAAAAGGGTTTCCTAAGTTTGTTAGCCCTCTGTGTGCTGTGGTGTTGTGTTTTTTGAGACAAGATAACCAGACAATGTCCCAGTACCTTCTCGGTAGCCCAGGCTAGTCTCGATTTTTCACTCCTCCTGTCTGAGCCCTTAAGTGCTGTGCTTGCAGGCATGTACCACCACACCAAGCTTGTTAATTCTTTGACCCTTTGTACAGTTTCTCCCTTGCAGATACTTCTTTCAGACTGTACTACATACAGACTGGTAGCCAGCCACCACATCACAATTCATGCTCTCTTATTTTGTGAGGTGTGAACTCGAAGCCTTGATATTAAAAGACTAGGGAGCGATCCTGAGGGGATGGTTAGTTCTCAGAGTCAGAAGAGGTTCATATCAGTTGGTTCAGCTGAGCAGTAGAAGGGAGCTGCTGTTCAGTTCTGGGGAATCAGAAAGCAGAGCCCTGACATGATGGGCAATGAAGCCAAGAAGCCCAAGAGGCAGCACCTAAGCCTGGCTCTTACTGTCACTGCTTTTCCTTCCTGATGAAGCATCCTGTTTTTACTATTGTAAGCTTTGCCTCCATCCTACCCTGTCATAAGGCACAGGGGAGAGGAGGAAAAGGCTGTGCTGGGAGCAGTCAAAACCTGTTAAATGCTGTTGAATGCTACTGTTTTGTTTTGCTTTTTCTTCTTCTTTTTATCTTCTTTCTTTTAAATTAATTAAAAGCTGGCTTATCTCTTTGTGTGAGATACATACCTTATGTCTGTTCTCAGGCCATGCGCAGATTGTCCATCTACTTCTAGAAAGAAACAAATCTGGAACGATCCCTTCAGACAGCCAAGGAGCAACACCCTTGCACTATGCAGCTCAGAGTAACTTTGCTGTAAGTGATGATTCCCCTTTCTCGTGATAAAATGTTTATTTTGATATAATTATAGCTTCATATTCCATACAAGAAATAATATACCATAGTCTCATGCCCTTTCAGTCAGCCTATTCTAATAGACAGAGTACAGTGTTATCAAAAGGAGGTTGGCACTGATCTAATTCAGACTGCACCGGGTTAAATTAAAGTTCATGTATCTGAATTGGTAGGGTGGTTGGCTCTTAACAATCATTCACACTGTCAGCACCATGATACAGGTCATGGTCTGTGTTTTTATAAGGTTCCTAGTCACCTGAAAAGTTTTATGTCACTTTACTTAAACGCTCTGTCTGACCTTTTGCTTTACAGTGAGTGTACTGCCTTGTTTTGTGACTTTTATAGCACTAAGGATGTCTTACTGTTCAGCACCCTAGAATTGTCTTGAAAGCTCTGCAGCAAGGCTTTGTAGCTGAAAAAACCAACTCCTAGAATCCCAACTATGCAGGCTGCTAGCTATGTGACCTCACACAACTTTCTTAACCTCTCTGAGTCTTTGCTTCTTCAATAACTATAAGTCTTCTTTCAGGACTGCTGGAAACGTAGATCAAACTTACACAAGTGTCTACTGCACCTGGCATAGAGCAGGAGTCTGCACAGGCCGTATTCCTATGGATTGTGTACAAATGAGAGCAGTTGTGTACATACAAGATTAGGTGTCCAAACACAGACTACATTCTTATGACTTGTGTTAGTGATTATTGATTGTATACATCTATGAATGCAAAAGTGTGGATTATTATATCTAGAGATCCTGGCCATTATCTATAGTTCTTCCCTGATAGATCATAAAGTGCATTCTTATCTATTGTGTCCTGGGTTCACTTGGCATCGTGATGGTGTGTAGTATGACGCTGAGATATTAAAGAGGCCATAGCTGGTTTTCTGTCTTCACTGTGAGTGTGCAGTGAAACTCTTAATAGCTCTAGCCTGGGCAGAGCATAATTCCTACTTTTTTACCTCAGCATTCTATCTCATTTTCATCCCTTCTTACCATGCAGAAGCCAGTTTGATCCTGTCTTGTATGCTAGTGAGTCTATTACCTTTCTCTTTAATAGATCCAAACCTCGTGAGTGCCCTTTGTGACAAGAACGCTGTGTGTCTACTCTTGGGTTGTTCACAGGCTGGCCATCTGCACATTCACACTCATTCCTTCGTGGCCTCTCTAAAACTGTACTCAATGCACCACCTAGAGTTTTGGCAAACCATTATCTTTTATTAACTCTGAACATCTCGATAATATTTGGAGAAATAGTTCTTTCTTAACACAGATGGGAAAGTCACAAGGCCCAAGCTGATGGGTCCATGGAAATGAAAACTCACTACATAACAGTAGCCTGTGAGATAGGTCATAATATCCCATTTCCAGGTTCTGAGAGATTAAATGCCTTGCCCGTGATCTTAAACCAGATTTCAGACTCTAGCTTTAATACAAATACCAACAATTAAAAACTTATCAGTCGGAGTAAGAAAGAACGGTAGCATATTACAGATGTTTGAGTTAGGTAGGCTGCCAGTTCCTGAGCTGGTTTTAATAATTATGCACATTTCTAAGCTCTGTTGCAAGCCTATCAATTATTTTAGCTTCTGTTAATTCCACAGAAGGTTGCTATTTTCTCTTTTGAAAAACACCAAAAATTAACAAATCAGGAAATAATTTTAAAATTAGGAAACCTTACCATGCTGTGGACAGATTGCTGGGAGTTCCAGTTTTATATCTGTTCCTGTACCTGTCTCCAGTATTTATGTGGTCATAAACCTGCATTTCTTGCAGTGTAAAACAAGGACTAAATTAGAAGAGCCTTTATATTTATTCTTTTTTATTATTGTATATATATAGGTGTTTTGTCTGTACATATATCTGTGTAACATGTGGCCACCTGTTGCCCTTGGAGAGCAGAAGAGGGAGTCAGACCATCTAGGAGTGGAGTTACTGGTGGTTTTAAGCCTCCATGCAGGTGCTGGGGATTGAACCCAGTAGCTAATGCTCTTGACTGCTGTGCTAGCTTTCCAGCCCTGTTCTATATATAAAATATTAAGTCAGCTACTGAAATTTATTTTTGAAACTCTTTTATATTTATTCAAGCACAAGTTTCTTCGTCTTCCTAGAAATTTGTGTCTGAGTTCTAAAAAAGACGTCAGTGCGGGAATATTAACCCATGTACAAGAACTGGGAATGACACTCAGCTGCACGGCACTTGCAAAGCATTAAGCCAGCGAGGCTCTGGGTTTGATCCCAGCACAGAAACCAACAGCACTAACCCAACTGCTAGACACTGTTAGGACTGACTACCCAGCATCCTTATTTTTCCATTATTCCAGAGGCAGGACCTTAAATATAGGAAAATAAATATAGGCTAAATAAAAATTTAAAATTTAAATTTTCATAGTAACTTTTGATCAGTAATCAACAAATGTATTAACTACTCAAGATTTCTAGAAATGAAATACACAGTGAGACAATCTGTTTGCTTCTCTAAAGGCACATGTGAATATGGGGTCTGTGCAGGTATAGTGCACAAGCAAATGTGTAACTTAATGTTAGTCATGACACTGAATTCTTTAAAGCCTTCTAATTTTCATTTCTAACAGTGGCCTTAAATGTTTGGATGTTTGATGAAAGAGACTCATTCTCAGTTATGTTACACTTGTCATCTTTTAATTTTTTAGTGTTATTTTTTGTTCTTTGACAGTTTCATTCATCCCCACCTTCTCCCCAGTAAGCTCCCTCCCTAAGTCCATGTCTTCTGTGTGTGTGACACACCGGGTTTAGTAGGGTTGCCTGCATGAGTGAGAGATTACTTACTCGAGCATGGGCTACTTAGCACTAATGAAGAGAGCATGAGTTCCCCCAGCCACCAAGTGAGTGTCATAGTCCCTCAGAGGGGGGTGGGGACTCACAAGCCCTTCTCCCCTTAGCGGACATGTTGACAGGCCCAGTCTTGTGCTGGAAGCCACAGCTGCAGTGAGTTCACCATGTGCCAGCCTTTGTGATGTGCAGAAAACACTGTTGGGCAGCAGCCCTTCCCAGCCTCTGGCTCCTACAGTCTTTCTACCTCTCCTTCAGTATTTGCTGGGAGGGGGCAGGCATCACCCCACATTTAAGGATGTTGAAGGAGAAAATTACATTATGTTCTTAAAGTGTCCCAGAAACAAAAACTATATAAGGGAAGAAGATCATCATTTTCTATGGAAACTGAAATTTTCTTTAAAAACCATCAGGGGAAACCCTTGTCTTCTTCATGGAACCACACAGGTGCTGTATTACCTACCACGTAGAGATGTGCTCCTCCACTGCAGTGTTTCAGATAAAGTCTTCTTACAGGAAACAGTTCAAGTGTTCTTAAAGCATCCTTCAGTGAAGGATGATTCTGATCTGGAAGGAAGAACATCGTTCATGTGGGCAGCAGGAAAAGGCAGTGACGATGTGCTCAGGACTATGCTGAGTTTAAAATCAGACATCGACATTAACATGGCCGACAAGTACGGAGGCACAGGTAGGAACTGGTACATGGGCTCACAGTGCTACAGGTGCTGGGAAGTGCTACCAAATTTATAATACAGAAATGTGAGGTCACCATTTCTAAGGTAATATTGTTTGACTTAGCCTTTTACTTTTTAAGCTTGAGTTTGCCAAGATCTTATTCCAAGGGCTTTATTTCTTCTAAGTATTATGGCTAAAATTAGTGTCTCCACCAGGTAAAAATCAACCTCTGGTTTATAGCTTTGGCTACACCTTAGATACAAGATAGAAACCTGTTTCATAAAAAAAATAAATAAAAAAAAAAACATCAGAAACGTACAGCTCTGCATAGTTGGGGCTGAAGAGATAGCTCAGTGGGTACAGCACTCACCATGCAAGTGTGAGAACCAGACACAGTGAATGAGGCTTGGAGGCAGGTCAGTAATCCCCATGCTTGGGAGGAGGAAACAAGAAAACCACAGAGCAAGCTGGCTGACCTGTGGAGTCAGTGAGAGACCCTGCGTAAATATGTAGGGTAGAACACAATCAATGAACTGATGTCAACTTTGGCCCTCAACACATGTGTGTACACACGTGCAGATACACCTCAACATATACATACATATCCAAAAATCTGTGCATATTTAGTAGCTACGAACACTTCACCATATGTTTTAAGGGATGTGCATATCTAAATGTATTCTCAAGTCTCATGTTTATGCTCTTTTCTCACGTTTGAGTAGTAGTGCTGTCTCATGTTAGACCGTCCCATGACTCTAGAATGTTCACTGTTTCACAGCCTTATCAGTCCTTATCAGACTCTTGCATCAAATTTCCTTTATTAATAGAGACCTGCAACTGCATACTAGTTACTAAGAGGCATAGTATTTAGCATCCTGTAAAAATCTCTTCTTTGTCTGAAATCCCAATTGCAAGTCAGAAGGAAAAGAAAATCTCTAGCACAACACTGAGTACAGCCAGAACTGATTACAGCAGTGGCCTCACCATCCCCCTACATACTACACCAACATGTACATAGCCAGGGCTGGGGTCAGGGAAAGGAAGGGAGAGAGAAAAATTTAGCTTACATTTCACCACAGGGAGGTGGAAATCATAAGAGAAAGAAAAGCATGCTTAAAATTAAAAGGTAGAGTTATTGTGAGAGCTTACCAACGGCTTTGGCTTCTGTTTTAGCTTTACACGCTGCTGCCCTTTCTGGCCACGTCAGCACCGTGAAGTTGTTATTGGACAATGATGCTCAAGTAGATGCTACTGACGTCATGAAACATACTCCACTGTTCCGAGCCTGTGAGATGGGACACAGAGATGTGATTCAGACGCTTATTAAAGGTTAGCTGGCACAAGTCCTTCTATTAGGGCTCACACAAAAGGTAGGCACTCCAGCACACCCAGTGTGAATGCTTTCATTCACACACAGAGTCATGCATCAGAAAGTTCAGGAAGGGTGCCCAAGTGGAACCAGAAGAAAACTGTCTTCATCTGTGGCCTCACCTGTTGGTGAACATGTGATTTTAGGTTACACTTTCCCCCAAGACTGTCACTTGCATTCACTGGAAGAGAATGAGTCCCAACCTCTCCAAACCTTCAGGAATTCTCTAAAGCTCTGGCACTGACAGTGCATAATGCATAGAAGTATTTGGGGGAGAAAAAAAAAAGCTTTTAAAGAGCTCTGTTACATTTTTAAGCTTCTGTTCCTTCCAACAAATGCTGTCCATACGTTCACTGTAGTTTTGCTTTGCTAGGCGGAGCACGAGTAGATCTGGTTGACCAAGATGGACATTCACTTCTACACTGGGCAGCACTGGGGGGAAATGCTGATGTCTGCCAGATACTGATAGAAAATAAGATCAACCCAAATGTGCAGGATTATGCAGGAAGAACACCACTTCAGTGTGCTGCATACGGAGGATACATCAACTGTATGGCTGTGCTCATGGAGAACAATGCAGACCCCAACATCCAAGACAAAGAGGTAGAAACCCTGGGCTTCCTGTCCGACCAGCTCCATGGTGCATAGCATCCTTCTCTGTCACGGATTAAGAAAGGTTATCACTTGGAGAAAGATGATTTCCATTTGTCAATGTTCTCTTCTAGTGCTCATCTGTATCTTTATGTTATTTAATGTATGTATACACATGTATGATCTTTAAAATGCCTTTGTTCACTTAAAATTAGCACCAACATTTTTTCAGTTGATATATAATATTTCCCATGATCACAACTGCTTAATATCCTGAAATATCAAGAGCTTTACATTCAAGAATTGTGCATTCCACCCTCCCATTGACCCAATGAAGTGGTTACGTCATCGCACTTCACAGTGGAGGAGACTGGAGCTTAAAGAGCTTCAGTAATAACTCTAGTGACGGTACTTGGGAGTGGGGAGCCTTAGCTTAAACTCTCAAGGTCTGTAATTAACTCCCATACGCCGACAGGTCTCCACCTTACAACCCTGCCAGAATTACCTTCATAAATTATCTTTCCTCTTTCAGATTATTCCCTTAGAATAATCCCTCTAAGGAGATTACTGAATCAAAGTAACAAATGCTATACAGTGTGATCAACTGTGGTGGGTGTGGGGGTGTGGGTGTGCGCACGCGCATGAGCACTGCCAGACTCCTCAGAAAGGATCTAATCCATACCACCTCCTCAATGCAGTATTAGTTTCCCTCAGTCTCCCTAGCACTGCTTTTGGAGGGCTGGCTTGACCCTAAAAGTACTATCATAAGCCAGGTTCTCCAAGCCAGAAAATAGATCCTCTGTTAACCACTGAGGAAGTGTCCACCAAGATTGCTGTTGTATGTAAAAGCAACATGATGAGGAGCTGGCAAGATGGCCGAGTGGGAAGGAGACCACTGACTCCTGTGGCTGACTGCCGACCGCCTGCATGCTGGAGCAGGGGTGTGCATGCTGAAAAATAAATAAATAAATAAATAAATAAATACTCTTAAAAAGTAAAAGCAGCATAATGAAAAGTATGTAAACTGTGGTCCTTGTCTCTATATGCATCATATAATTTAGCATGTTTTTTGTGTTGTGCTAAATGGACAGTTTCTACATGCTTTTATCAACTTTCCAGTTCTGTTCATTTTTATGTGTAGCACTTTGGAAGCATCTGCTTTTGAACTATCTAGGATCTCTCATGTAGTTCTGAATGGATTGGTGATTCTGGTTATCTTTAACTCATTCTGGCTTATCAGCGATCTGGCTTCCAATACTTCAACATTTCATGAGATTTTATTTCTAGTTGCTAAGATCATACTTAGATTTCTATCAAATATTGTTTGTGCATCTGCCAACATGATTACATCCTTTTCTTCTTTTTTTTTTTTTTTTTTTTTGGGATTCTTTTTTTTTTTATTGGATGTTTTATTTACATTTCATATGTTGT